ATTAAAGAAATTGATGACAGCTTCGAAAGAAAGTAAAATTTAGTTTGTGTAATGTTATACTCTTTGTATTACTTTTTGTGACTGATGTGACTTGCAGTATAATATGAGGCTTGTATAACTTCTGCTAAAAATAGTAAAAGCATACACAAGATTGTGTAATTTTAAAATAAGTACAAATTTGTAATTATTTTATTTTGTGTTAATTAACTAAAAATTAAAAAGAAAATTGTTATAAAATAATTATTAATTGATTGAATCACTAAAATATGGTGTTTTAAAATGTGTTTGAGGTTTGAATTTGGAAGAGTAAAGAAAAAAAAACAAATTTTTAGAAAATTTTAAAGAAATTAGTTAGTTAGAATTTTTTGCTTATAAAATGACTAATTTTTAATTATTTTTAATAAAACTTATATCAAAATGAAGCCAAAGGTGAGCTGGTCATCTTTGTCTTAATGAATAAGACAAGTTTTCTAAGCTAAATTTGAGTTTAATTAGTTTTAAAGTGTTTTAACAAATAGTTATTTAATTTATTTAATATTTTAGCTAGTAATATAAAATTTTATATGTATATGTAAATTTGAATAAAAAACAGTTTTTTTTTTTTTTTTTTTTTTTATATATTTAAACTAGTCTTTTGGGGACTAGGGCTTTTTATTCAGTATAACAGGACACAGGAGCTCGCGGTCCGATTACCTCAGAGAAGCTACCTTACATTAGAGAGTACATCTAGCCACACATACACTTTTGGTGTCTAATTTAAGTAGTCCGCCTATATCTAGGTTCTACACTAGCTGTCATACCTGCAACCCAACTACGGGTATTGCCTATTTAAACCCTCTGTACTGCAATCCTTACTGTGTCACTAGAACATCTCCGATACACGATGTCAGTCGAGAAGTTCTAGATGCTTACCTATACCCTTAGGACCCTGTGCCTTATTTCATGCAGTGTGTCCTCAAGACATCGTTACTAGAGCCTTCTGTACCCCAATTTACAGCTGACCTAGTTTACAACCCTTGCGAAGTTCATACAACCCCAGTACCCTCCTTTTACAACCTCACCGATACCTCGTCTACCCTTGCAAGTCTCCCCATACTACCAATCCAGTTAGCCCTGCATGATGCGACTTCATGCCCGGATCAACCGGTGGCCAGGTTGGTGGACCCTCTACCTAGAGGTTCTTGCCCGTACAGGTCACCTGCCCCAGGTTTCCTTCTTCGGATCAAGATCTTCACAGGTGGTACCGTCGAAAGTCGTACTACCTCTCCGCTTGGGATTTCCAAGCAGGCTTCTAATTCGAGTATATACTTTCCGGATTTATTCATGTGACATTGCACACTCCCAAAGTTAGTCTTGGTATAACCAGAATTACAGGATCTACAAACCCCAGATCACGGATAAGTTTGCCGGAATAGGACCATTTTTCAAAATTCTGCCGCCGGTGGGATTTGAACACTGGACCTACTGCTTGGAGGATGACAACCCAACCACTATACTAGGATCGCCATCCTCTATAAAAAACAGTTTTATTTAGTTTAAAAGATATATTTAAATATGAATTGTTAAAAAAAATTAATTTTTTTTTAATAAAATTTTAATGCAAGTAATCATCAGAAAGAGTTAACAATTTGTGTTTTTTATTATATAATTGATTTAATCTAAATTATATTGTATTATTTTTGTTTTTATTATCTATTTCTTGATTAATATGTTTTTAAAACTTCTAGTTTTGATTTGTTTTAAAACCTCAAACACTTGACTATAAACTAACAAATCTTGTTTTGTAATTATATTTAGGTTACTAATTGTTATACTGTATGCTATTTGTTCTATATTATTTAAACTATAAAATATTGTATCTTTGAGTATTTTAATTAACATATTGTTATTTAAATAATTAAGATTTTTTTGCTTCTATGACCCAAGTAACTCCTGCTTATGTAATTCACTTATTTTATTTTCTAAATCTAAACTTATATTGTTAATTTACTAATGTTTACTTATTACAATCACTAATACTATTCTGATAATTGTTTAGTATTAAAAACTTTTTAAATTAATATAACAAATTATTTCTAAGTACTTACAAGAATAATTAAAAAATATCAAATCTAAAAATAATAAAATCAATATTATGTAAAAATTATATAATAAACTTAATAAAAAAAATGTTAATCTATATAGTTACCAAAGATTAAAAAAAAAACTTTTTTGTAAATTATCAATTAAATTAATTAATTGGATTCATATGTTTTTACTATAATTTTTATTATAAACATTTTGAATCTTTATAAAAAATATTCTATATCTCCTCACCTTAACTCCAAAAAAAAAAAAAATTCTATATCTAATATATATAATTTTTATTAATAAACAAATGTTCTTGTAACAACTTCAAATAAACCATTAATAATTAGAGGTAGGATTTGGTTTACCCGAATTTTTAGTTATTTTTATTGATTGTACTAATTGAGTCGTTACAAATAAGTTCCTAGCAGGTCTACAATTAGATTCGTCCTTTATTAATATATATTAAATAATAATGTTATAGATAAAATTATAGCTTAACTAAAATGCCATGGCTTAAACCACGGCTTGGTTTGCTTAAGTTATGATTTAGCTAACTTAAATTATAGCTTATCTAATTTAAGCATGGCTATAGTTAAAATTATAATTATTTAACTCGATTATAGCTCAACTATAACTTTAACTATATTTATAACCATAGTTAGATTATGGTTACTATAGCTATGACTTAGATTTTAGTTACTGATCTTTGAGCCAAGTCAGTTATTAAACCAAAACATCCCTACCTTGTCGAAAAACATTGTATTCTTTCATTTTTATGACTACCTTTTTTTTTAAATAAAACTTTCTTAGTAAAAAATGTATCATTTATTTTAATTTCTGATTGGCTTGAGCCATGAACGATCCTGGGGCAGTTCAATCTTCTTTGTCTCTCTTTTGATGTTTGTCACCAGAATCTTCCATAAAAGCAGTGATTATAAAAGAAAATACAACCACATTTGCGATGCCAGCAGCAACTAGCGCAGCTTTCGTAGTACCATGATCTCCTAAAAAAAAACAAACAAAAAGGTAAATGTCAATGAATTAGAACAAAGAAATAAATTAGTTGTTTACCTTCAAAAAAATACTTGGAAGTATAAAAGTATGTGGAAATCGGAAGAACCACCATCAATAAAGTATGTAAATAGACCTTAAAAATGACTGATCTATTAAGTAGCAAAGAATTATTTACATGTGTAGACAAACTTCAAGTAAATCCCAACTTTTATACCTAGGAACTTCAGGATTTTTTGGTTGAACAATTGGAACAGTGGATGAGGACATTTTTTTGAAGAATCAAAAAATTCTGTAATTTACGACAATTTATATATTTGGCCATTATGTTGCACAAACAATTATTAAATCTGTAATATATATTAAAATTACTGCGTAACCAATGCATGCAAGACAATCTAAAGTCAGGTGCACGACACATATATACGATATTAATTACCAGCCCTTCATTAAAATTTCGAACATTAACAAAGAACAATAAAACAATGCGTAGAGGTCTTGGAGTTACGGGTTTAAAAAGGAAAATTGCGGCCAATGTAAGGTGTTTCATTTAAATAATTTAGAATAGTCGAATCATATTGATTTTTCTTCGTATTTGTGTAGGATCAATTTCGTGAGTTTGGAAACAATAAGGCGGAAATAGAAATGCAGCAGGTAAAAGATAAGCTCTAAAGTAATAAATCCAATAGTACACACATATAACTTATTCTACTAAATTAATAGCTAAAGGAACAACTCCAAGTTTTCAAAACAAATCTCGAAGAGTTTGCTCGCAAATATCGCAAGGACATCCGTAAGAATCCTATGTTTCGGGCACATTTTCAGAAAATGTGCAGTAATATCGGGGTTGATCCACTTGCATGTAATCTTTTCGATTTATTCTTCATTTTTCATGCGTGAATTAATATTAACATATTATAATTTTACATATGAATGAAGCAAATAAAGGATTTTGGGCAGAATTTTTAGGTGTAGGCGATTTTTACTATGAAATTGGTGTACAAATTATTGAAATCTGTTTATCTACTCGAGGTAGAAATGGGGGATTGATTGAGTTAGATGAATTGAAACGGCAATTGGTAAAAATGCGTGGAGGTAATAGTGGTAGTGGAATTAGTGGATCCAATTCGTCACAAGAGATCAGTGAGTGAGTCTAGTGCTTAAAGGGTCCTTTTTTCATAAAAATTATCATTCTCATTTAGCGTTAAACATATATTGTATTTAGTGACGATATCATACGCTCTATTAAAACCCTCAAACCATTAGGTAATGGATTTGAAATATTACAAATTGGTGATAGAAAAATGGTAAGATCAGTCCCACGGGAATTAAACATAGATCAGTCTGAAATATTGGCTTTGGCGCAGGTATTATTATTGTGAAAACGTTTAGAAAGGTCGTATATTCTTGCAATATTCACGATTGTCGTTTTATAGGCGAAAGGTTATGTCACTAAAGATATAATAGAAACAGAATTGGGATGGGGAACAGAACGCATAAATGATGTTATAGTAAGTATTGTATTTCCGAGTTTATTTTTCCTCATTCGCATTACTATTTCGGTTAAAAAATCCTATTTCAATAGAATACATTACTTTCGGATGGGCTTTGTTGGATAGATGAACTATATACACATTTCTTTTGTCACAAAACAGCATATAAATCAAAAGAAAGGTTGTGTTGTTTAACTAAAGAGTCTGCAAGATTATTCAGAGCATTATCAGTATGGGCTTGTACTTTATAAAAGTGATCTGTAGGTTATAGGATTTGATAATATTTAATAAGGTATGCCATATAGGCCATGTATCAAATTTGAAAAGTTTGTTAGGATTAGAAAGTGTAATATGAATTCTAGAGTATTTAGTAATAATAGATTGGAAATCTGTATAAATATTAACTATTGCATTTCAAGGTATAATAGAAATAGCTAAGAGAATAACTATTAGTTCTGCTTTATAAGATGATAGCCAAAAGTGTATCTTATCAGAAAATTTGTAAATAATTTAGTTATCATTATTGACCTAAACTTAGTCAATGCCTATTGTACATTGGTCAGTTTCAATATTAATTACTGAGCCATCAGTATAAAAGTTAAACTATTGTTAGAAGCTATTAAGAATGAAATATTGTTCAAGTATGTTTGTAACTTCATTAGTTTTAAATATTTCGAATACATAAGAGTTAGGAATTAAAATTGTTGGAGCTGAAAGAATTGATAATAGATGTTTAATGACTGTTAAATAGATAAGATCTATATAATTGGCATTAAAGTTTACTAAATTAGAGTTAATTCTTTTTAGAAATTGGAAAGAGATGATAGCAGACACATTAACTATACATAGATTTTGAATTCTGTTAGAGTTTAGATGACAGCCCAGGCAGGGTAAGCATTGAACTGGTGAAAGAGGATAATAGCCAGAGTGATTTATACTTTAACTATACTAATATCTACAACTCTATCACATGCTGTTTTGGGACCAACATTTTATAGAAAATCTTACTAGAACCTTTATTAAAAATATTTGCAAAGCTTACATCCTGACAATGTAGTCATCTCAAAAATATAACCAGCAATGGAACCAACTTATTTCAGAAATAGA